ATTTGTAAAATACTAACATTCCGACAATATTCTTTTAATTAAGATTCAATTAAGACCGTCCCTCATTCGATCATACATAGATTAGTTCAATGGCAACCGAATTCATTGATCAATTGGAGTAGTTAAGATTCTTCGTTCTAAAAACAGCTAAACTCATTAGATGCATTAAATCAATTTAAAAGTTTATCTGTATGTACTTCTAAAATTTTTTAAAAATTATTTTGAAATATACTCATCCAAGACCAAACTTAAGGTCCAATTACAGGTCGAAAATCTAAACCTTGGATTGTATGAGTCCATGTGCCATGCATCCTCACCAAACTTATAGGGCTTGATTTCGAGATACAATCTGGCCTTGAAAATGTCGGTCAAAGTTAAAAAAATAATAATAATAAAGAAAAGAAGAAAAAGACGAAGTGTGAAATTGAAAGCCAAAGGGAGGCAAAGAGGCCATGAAGAAATTGTTATTTTTTAAATTAATTTATTTTTTTTTATACAATAACAAGTTTTATACATAGGATGGTTAAGTGATAGAAGTTATAATACAAACGTTAATTATTTACTAAATAAGAATAAAACACCATTTAAATACATGAGAATATGATATGTTAATTATTACTAATAACTTATTAGTATGAGTAGAACAAACTTAATTCTTCTTAAATAAAGTCTTAATTTCGAATCTTATAAATAAAAAAATAAACATGGGAGAACTTCCTCTTATTGGATTTGATTTGGCTTGACTTCAGATTAGTTAAGGACAAATGTGATTTCTAAATACTAAGAAGTCTTGTAAACAGAGAAATATGCGCTAGAAGAGCTCTCCCTTATGGGGTCCAACTTGGCTCAATTTCGGATTATGATATTGTTAATTATTAACGACTTATTGGTTCGAGTAGAAGGAATTTGATTCTCCTTAAACAAGGTCTCGACTTTAAATCTCGTAAATAGAGAAACAGGCACTGGGAGAGATCACCCTTATGGGGTCTAATCCGACTTGACTCCGGATTGGTCAAGGTCTAACGTGGTTTCTAGATA